CGACTTTTGACTGTATAACTGTGTTTGAAATGAAAAATAGTATTCCTTCAGCTCAACAAGTAACCACAAAGACAAATGTCACCATCCCTCCATCCCTCCATAGAAAACAATAGCTTCAAATTTGGAATAATTAAATACCCTGAAAATAGCCCAAGAGATGTATTAGTGGGCTCGACATGAGTAGACCTTTCAAGAGACTTCGTCCCTGTGAGGGTGGCGAATGTTAGCCATAGACCGAAAACCATCGAAAAGGATGAAGTGCTAGCAACATGCACTCTAGTTACTTGTGTCTACAAAGCCACACCCACAATTCCATCTGAAGTAACTGGGAAATTAATGGAAGAACTTCTGAAGAGTGCAAACTTAACCCACGAACAAAGACGTGTGGCAGAGATAACTATTAAAGAATTTGAAGATCTATTTTCTAAAACATCCAGAGATGTTGGTTGCTCAAAACTGATGCGACATCGAAGTGATACAGGGGATCACTCTCCAATAATGCAAAATCCTAGGCTTCCATTTGCAAAACAGGAAGAGGCTGAAAATCTTCTGAAGCAGAAGCAACAAAATGACATTGTTGAACCATCCTTAAGTCCATGGGCATTACCTATAGTTCTTGTCCGGAAGAAAGGTGACTCAACAAGATTTTCTGTTGACTATCGGAGACTAAATAATGTCACTAAGAAAGACAGTTACCCACTTCCTAGGACTGACAATACTCTAGACACCCTATCAGGATATAAGTGGTTTTCTACTTTGGATCTCAAGAGTGGATACTGGCAAGTGGAAGTTCACCCCGATGATAGAGAAAAACTGTAGAGTATACCGGCCAAATACTCTGGCAGCTTAAAGTTATGCCATTTGGACTCTGTAATGCCCCTGCAACATTTGAATGCCTTATGGAGACAGTGCTTTGTGGCCTATCTTATGAATCCTGTCTGATCTACTTACATAACATTATTATAGTGGGCTGCAGATTCAAGGAACATCTAGAAAATATCAGGAAGGTGTTCCAGAAATTGAAAGATGCCAGCCTCAAGTGAGTCTTTTGAAATGCAAATTGATCCACGGTGAAGTCATCTATCCGGAGCCCGTTGCCTCTGCCAAAGCTGTCCACTTAGATCTATAGAAGGTGTCAGCAGTTAAATACTGGGAACAACACCCTGCGGATATTCATCAACTATGGAGCCTCCTGTGAATCTGTAGCTATTGCATAAGATTCACGAAGGGGTTCTCCAACATTGCAAGGCCTCTGCATAAATTAACATACAGTAGACCAAAATTCGTATAGACTGATGTGTGCGAAAAATTTTTTAATCAGTTGAAGGTGGCATTAACATCTACGCTCGTGCTCGCATATCCCCAGATCGATAATTTAAGTATACAGGTTTGCCCAGAAGATCAACATCTTGATGCACAGGATGAAGTACAGATATGAAGCAAAAGCCACGAATATTAATTAAAGGAAAACAACAAAGTGTGGCTCAGGAATCCGAGTCTTCATAAGGGTGTTTCTCCAAAACTGTAATCGCATTGGGAAGGTTCCTACACAGTTCTCAACAGACTGAACAAGGTTGTGATACGGATCCATAAGTTCCCCAATTCAAAACCTAAGGTCGTTCAGTTGTGACAGATTCGTCCCAAACTATGGCCATAGTACCTAGTACTTCTCATTCTTAGGGGTACCCATAATTCTTACAGATTAATTTTCCTACATAATTTCTGTGTGTAGTTCATGCATAGTTACTTGTAAATAGTACAAATATTTATTTTTCCTATTTTTGTTTACTTTGTTTGTCTACTTACCTTTTGAATTTGGCTTCTGACCAAGGATTGTACTGCCAAGGAAGTAGGGAGGGGGCAGTGTTACGAAATGCCCAGTCACAGTAGGCTAGCTTTCCCTCAAGGTGAATTTAGGGTTGCCAGAAAATGGCAAGAGAAGACAAGCTTGCCATTATTGGCATGAAATCACCCATTTGATGACATAATTGACGATATGCCATGGATGGAGAGAGAACATTCTAGAACCAATTCTTACCAGTTTACCCCAGAATGTTTTCGAAGGCAGTTGAAAAGCTATATAAACCCTGCCTCTACATGGAGTGGTAGTGTATCGCCAAGTTTTATCTTGAGTGTGTTGAGCTTCGAGTCAGGAGCTCACTGACCGAGTTGGGAGCTATACTTTAGTGTTTTGCCATGAAACTGTCTTCACCATTATAGCCTGATGGCCTGAAGTCGTTATATCCTGTGTTACTGATTGTTTCAGCAACATGACCATGACAAAAAAATCATGACAAACATGTCATGGTTGTTTTAAAACTGTAAATATGATTTTGGAACTGCCCTGAGTAATACTGGCTAAACTGTGTTTTGATTCTTCATGAGTTGTTGCACTTCATCAATCACTCCAAATCCACGAACCCGTAGAATGCAACAATATATATACACAAGACAGTTTTTGAAAAAATTAAGAAGTTTAGAATCATATCCAGAAAAACCCAAAAGAAATTAAATTAAAAAACCAATAAAATTTCAAAATTCCCTATAAATATGTAAATAAGCGACCAAAAGTCAGAAGAATTAAAGAAATGTGAAATACAAAAACTTCAATAAAACACATGGGAAGATAACACATATATATGCAAGATATAAAATATGAAAGCAAACTACAGTAGAATTCAAGAAATCCGCAAAGCTTGGGACCAGAGGTTGTGTGGATTTTAGGATTTTGCAAATTTCAAGATAGAAAAGATAAATCATAATATTCAGACTAAAAGTGCAAAATAAATAAGGCGTATTAAATACATTTAATTAAATTATTATTATATACATTATTGCAATAACTTATTATATGCATTATATTATTATTACATATATAAATTGATTATTATTCAGTGTATTATATATACACAGCATCGAGCTTTGCCGATTTCGCCTCATGCAAAGATTTCCGGTTTCGGATTCCGGTGTTAGATTCACTGTTCCTGTAAAATTTCAACAGCTTTTCTTTATTTTTCTGTATATGATACACAATCGTATCGCAATTCCTTATTACTCTGCTATAAACCGAGGAGTAGCATCTGTCTTCATCTTTTGGAGAATTTGCACTTTTTGCATTACTGTCAATGCAACGTGTTTACGTTTTTCAACGTTGCAAAGCAGTAAAATCATGAGTGCGTTTCTAATCTGTAATTGATTAAAAAAGGCTGAAATTTAAAATAGTCTTAATTTATCCACAAAATATCCGGATAAAAAAAAGGCAGCACTAAATAATCTCGTGAAATAACAACGCTCAGAAAATACAACAACGTGAATCGTGAACTTGAAAGAAGAGTTAAGTGGATCGTCTGCTTTCTTACCTCGATGCAGATTAGAGGGGGGGAAAACTTAATTCAATAATTTGGTATTTCTGTTATGACTCATTATTATTCGGTAATTATGACCTCATTATTCGGTAAGTATTTTTATTCCATATTTCGTACTCAATGTTGCGGCTTCTGGAACCCATAAACTGAATGTTTATATTTTGAGAGGCAACAGGAATTTCAGGATTTGGCGGATTTTTGGTATTTGTACTAATTTTAATTTTGCAACAGCCCCTTTAATCGTCATTTAAATTAAGGTACTTCCCTTTTCTGTCCTAAAAATAGTAACTGTTTATATCATACCAATCTAAACTGTGTCATTTCAAAATTAGCTGCATCACAAGACCTGATTAACACTGCAACATAGATGCCATGTATCCAATCCCTGAATAAGATTTCAATTGAGAATCAAAACCTCTCAATTCTCCTATGCTCTTGCTGAATGTGTAATCACTCTTCTGTTTTGCTTGTTTCATGCTACAATGTTGTCACTTACCTCTATCTCTAATCTAAAAAAAATGCTATGGAGACTGGGTGCACATTGCACCAATAATGATGCGAGAATAAGAATATATGTCTCAAGAATTAGTTGTCCAGCAATAAACTACGTCATATCTATGGTTGCATTTGTTTACAAGTTTCATCACTCTATCTACTCAATAAACCTCTTCAAATCAATTACAACTATCAAACAAATCTATTATATACATATGCATATTACTCAAATTTAGCCTTGATTTTCCTGCTTATTTCTAAGATGAGTATATATCACTTTCAAAAATGTATTCATTACAAAGTACTGGATAAAGCTAAGAAGTCCAAGCTCATGCATGTGCCATTTTGATAACGATTCAGAAGGAAATGTTGATTAAAATGTATACAGATAAATAAGTCATATTGCTGCCAATCAATCAAATTCTTTAATGCAAAAACATCTGTGTCTATTTCAGAATTTTATTTTATTAGAAAAAAATCCTTTTTCATGTTAGTAACACAGTACAAAGTCCGTAATCCGGACGTCCATTATCCGGAATGATCCATAATCCGAACCTCAGAGCCACAAACTCAAAGCATGCATGCGTAATGCGTTTACGTATGCGCATTTCATGTTATGCATGCATGTTTAATGTTTACGCATGCGCATTTAGAACAAAAAATGAAGCAACTTAAACAACTTACATTGAGAGAAATGTTTAATAAAGTAAGCAAATAAATATTAAGCTTTTTTTTTTGTAAATTTTGATACCCTTTAGATCATAATTGCTCTTTATTTCATAAATTACGGTTTCATATTTTTAATTGTATAATTTCTGCATGCCATCTTATCAGATTTAAATTGATGATCTATAATCCGAAAAACCCCTAATCCGGAATCACCGAATTCCCAACGAGTCCGGATTACGAACTTTGTACTGTACTGCAATTAATTAAGGATTGCATCTTACAATTGATGGTACCTTAAACTCAAAGAATACAGAAGGCATCTATTACAAGAGTTAAATCACAGTCAAAATATGATATAGCGCATAGTTGAGAACTAATAAAAATAATGATAAAAGAAAATAAAATTTAAGATGGAAAAAAGAATTTCAAATTTTTTTTTTTTTTTTTTTTTTTTTTTTTTTACTACTCACTTTCTTCCCAGACTTTTGAATCACCAAGTAAAGATATCGTCCACATATCATTTAATCTAGCATTTCCATCATAGCCAGCAAATATCCATAGTTTTCCATCATACACTGCAGCTCCATGTGCAGATCTAGGAACTGGACGCCTGTAGATTTCGATGTAAATATATTCAGTATATTTAGAAATATACATTTTACTAACATATAAGAATTTTGATTTAAATTTTATAAAATGTAAATCATTAAAGCAATTGCAAAGGCAAATGAAAATGTTTGCATATTTATAAAGGAGTATTTAGGTTAACATAGATATTACACATATTTAATATTAAGATACATAGATGGTGCAATATTCACAAATTTATACACATCTATAACAGCAGAACTGAATACAGTACAAAGTCTTTAATCCGGATGTCCATAATTCGGAATGATCTATAATCCGGACCTACTTTATGCGCATGCGTAAGCGCATTATGCGTTTACGCATGCATGTTTAATGTGCGCATCCACTACGCATGCGCGTAAAGAAAAGAGATACTATTTATAGAGAAAGACTGTTTATAGAAGAGAGATGTTTTAAAGGAATATACGTAAATTTATTACATATTAAGTGTTTTTATCATTAAATTAAGAACTTTCAATGAACTTTACTGATTTTGATCAACAAGGTGCCTTCTCAAGATCACATGACTTCTCTGACTGCCTCCGTGCCAGCGTAGCACAAGACGAAGAACATTTTTCGTTCTTATTTTACATACTCATGAACTCGCATTTTGAACTTTCACCTTGTGCGATGATCTACTAGAAGTACATCTTTGATTTCTTTTAAAACCAAGCAAATGTTTAAATGGTTATAATTTTCAGGATACTGGTTAGAACTCTTTGCAGTTAATGCCAGCTGTAAAGATAAGATCCAAGATCTATAGAAGAAATAATTAAAGAGAAAGTATTAGCACAAAAAACAAAGCAACTTAAACAACTTACATTGAAAGAAATGTTTAATAAAGTAAACAAACAAATAATAAACTTTTTTTTTCCCTTTTTTCCCCCCCAAAATATTGATACCTTTTAGATCATACTTGCTCTTTATTCCATATATTATGGTTTATATTTTTAATTTTATAATTTCTGCATGCCATCTTATCACCCCTAATCCGGAATCGCCGAAGTCCCGATGAGTCCAGATTAAAGACTTTGTACTGTATTACACAATGAGCAAAACAAGTTAAATTGCCCATTATGTAATATTCAGTTCAAGTGTAAGCGTATTAAATTTTAGTAGACATTCTTACACAAAAATTATAATTCATTTGAAAGACACTTTGATACATTTTTCAAGTTATGTCCTAATGTTAAAATACTATACAGATTCAGGATTAGAAATTTCAATGTTAAGTTATTGATATTAGTATTTCATGTAATTCTGTAAAAGCTTTCTATTCTATAATAAAAACAATTTTAAAAAAGTCTTTTCGAATCCTTCCGGTATGATTTACGCTTACAAGAAATGACTGCACTTTCTACAAAATAAATAAAAGATTCCACAATGTAAGGGTATTTTCAGAACTCAGTGTAGCAAATTCTGCTGCCACTGTGTGACACAGTCCCCACAGTGCTCACCACTGAAGTTGCTCTCTACATAAAAGATATTGCTTATTGCAAGTACATCGGATTAATTAATTTTAAGTTAGAGTGTATAATAAGGGTTATGGCAAAGCATACAAGGACTATCTTCTTATGCAAACAGGCATCTTTATCAAGGACTTATTAAAAGAAACTAGTACATGATATGAAATATGATTTTCCATAGTTCATCTGATGTTACATTTTCATAGAAATTATGAAAACCTCATGCAGTTCAATTTAGTTGTCAAGAGCAGAATCCACAGAAACTTCTCTAGAAATATAGCATTTTTTATGGCTTTAATCATTCAGCCGCTGTTCATTCCTTTAGAATAGTCATATAAAATTACAAATAACAAAATAACAAAATATCAACATTTAATAGCCACATCTTCAACAGAATTTATTAATTTATTACAAGCTTAAGTTACTTTTAACATTTCAATTTTACTTTAGTAGATCTGTGTTAAATCATTTTCATCTTTGACACCACTCACAGCACCAGAAAACAGTTTCAACATGCCAACATATTTTGTTTTCCCAGTAGTGGGCACTAGCTATTATAGGTTTGGCCACTACTAAGATCGGAAATGATGGTCACTTTATTATGCAAGCACCTAATTGGCAGGGTACCATTGCTTCCTATGAAGGGGCAGATAATTTACATCAATGCCTTCTCCAGGATTCGAACTCTGATCCTTTGGTATAGTAGTTAGAGTTACTAACTACTTTCCCTTCTGGGCAGCATAAGCCAATATTATTTATAGGAGTTACATTTTGGAGTCTGCTTATATATAACCTTACTTTCACACACAATTTTAAGCAGCAGCATAATGTTTCTAGCGTGTTTTACTCATCCTGAGAACAAAATTATTACACTCTTTAGTGTACTAGAGTTTAATAATTGATAATGGAATAACCAAATATTTAAGAATATAAAAATAATGAAAGAAGAAATACAGTTAGATATGTTAGGACACCCTTTTCCAGAAATATGTTACATGTCACACATAACGTATTTCTGGGAAAGGTTGTTACATGTCACACATGAGACTTAAACATTGCAAATTTCACTAGGAAAACCTAATACCTGAAACAGTAAGCAATCATTATTTCAGATTGATAATGACAAAACAATGTTATTCCTTTCTGAGAAAATTTCAGTATTTAAGGAATTAATAAAATATAATTTTATTAAATTCATAACAGCATTTATCATTAAAATTCAATACTGCTTTGACAGAAAATACCCAAATGAATACCAGTTCTAACAAACAAACATTTCTGAGAATAATACATATTGTTAGCATCATAATCAATCAAGCAAATAAAATGACAAATTTAGTATTAATTAATTCAATACTAGTTATTATAAATGGCAACCTTTACCCATGTATTTTTGGCATAATTAGTATTTATAATAATCAATACTTCAGATAAATTTTTAACTAGCATAATGCAAGTAGCTAATGATAATTCAACAAATAATAATGCAACTCCTATTATGGTTAAGCCAGAAGATGGCGCCACTTATAACAAATACCTCAAAAAACTTTCAAAACTCACAAAAGCAACTTTTTACAGTACAGTTAGTGAAGAATATCTTCAATTATTGCCGAGCATACCAGATGATCATCGCCAATTAACTTTGGATCTTAAAGCACATAATATTGAACAATATGCCATTACTCCTAAGCATAAGAGACCGGTAAAAGTAGTAATAAGAGGTCTACCAATTACGATGGATAAAACTGAAATAGTAGATGAATTGACAAATTTGGGATATTCTGTATTCAAAGTAGTGCAGTTAACGAGATTTAGGATGAAACAGCTTATGCCTTTATTTTATACTCAATTAAACCAGTCTGATAATATTGAAAACATCTACAACGAAACCGACTTAGGACTTTTTATGGTATCAATAGAAAAATATGTCAACAAAAGCATTGTTCTGCAGTGCCATAATTGTCAGAGGTTTCACCATTCATCAGACAATTGTTTCTTCATGCCTAGGTGTGTTAAATGCGCACAGAACCACAAAACAACTGATTGCCCGACCCCTGAACATATAGATAAACCAGTCTCTGCAAAATCATCTGGTGTCTTATCACGGTTGTGAGAAGTTCCCAAAAAATAAACCCAGAATTAATAATAGTAAACCAAGTTTGATATCCAAACAGAAAACCATAATTATTCCTTCAGCAATGATCACAGATGGAAAGAGTTATGCTCAGGCTACTTCAAAACATGTGCAATCAGTTAGAAACCAAAACACTGGCAGCAAAGGTAGTAATAATAACTTTACTGATTTCTTTTCAACTTTAAAAGAACTGTATAATATTTTTGGAAATTGAAGTTTATCAAAATTGTTAACTTTTTATTAAGATCCAACATGGATCAGATCAGAAACCCCTATGGAAAAACTGTTTCTATTATTTAATATATGTGAGGAAGCAAATATTTTTAACTTAAATCATGGTTAGGAATTTGACTTAGGATTTTAATTCAGTCACAAACAGGAAAAGACCCAAAGCCATTCTTAGGAATGTGCCGTAAGTCTTGATTTATTTACCTAACAATTTTCAAAAAGAAAAATAAATAAGCAAATAATAATAATATATTAAAATTTACAGTTTAATTATTTTATACACTTTGAATCCACAAAAATCACTTCTTGCATGTGACACCCCTCAACCTATCATAATGCAACTCCTACTCAACCAACCAGTGAACATTCCAGTGTCACCTGACCATCTTTGACTCCAGCCAGTACAGCCTTCCCTCCGCCCAGTTCCCACTCGGATATCAACAGCGCAGGACGCTATTTCTCTTGTCGCCGAACGGTACCCATAAGTACTTCTGATGCTACGATCTGATGCTCCGGCAATGGCCCTTCAATTGCTAGTGTCATCCCTACAGCGAATTGTTGCACAATCAACAACTTAAATGCTTCTCAAGGACTATTACATAGAAAAGATCATAATAATTGATCTTCAAGAAACATAAGATATGCCTTCACGCATCATAAGAAAACAATGATCAAAAAGTGACTCAAACATCGATGGGAATAGGACACTCCAGTCCAGGCACCCGTGGCAACGAACGTCTCGTTCAAGGATGATACTGATATACTTCTCAGATGTGTTTTTTACAAGAATTTCAGCAACAAGATAAAGAATCATGCCAATTTAAAGTAAATAATATATAGGAAATGTTGTCCAACTTGAATGAATCTGAATGTAGAAAAAAAAAGAAAAAGGCAATAAGAGATAAATAGAAATAATAAAAAGATGAGAAATAAATAAAAAGATGCATTTGCTAGAGCAGAAACATCAGCAATTTTAGCATGCAAAATCACTTCATCGTTGACTGGAAATTTACGTAGTATGTAATCACATACTCGAGAGAAGTAACTTCTAACATGAAGATAAAACTTATTTTTGTCTTCTTCTGAAAGTTCTTCCACTACTTTTGTAGTTGCAGCTCCTATTACCAAATCTTCATCTTTCTTCTGATTTTCTATTTCACCATAAATCACATCATATATAGAATTACTAGACAAAACATAGACTGGTTTTACAAACTTTGATAAAATGTCTTTAAACAGATCATAAATCGCTAATTGCAAAACATGAATTAATGGAATTCTGCTTTGTAGAACTGTGTTAAGAACATCGAATGGTGGTAAAATGAATTGTAAAAAAAAGCAAAAAGCTTTGTTAAGGTCCGAAAAAAAAAACACAAATATTCGTTCTTCACAAGATAAACATACAGTAATCAGAAACTGTTTCATGTGTTGAGCAATTTTTTTATTTTGAGAGAAATCTGTATCAGCTTTATGCTTATATTTTGCAGTATTATTTTGAGAACTGCCAGTTGAACTGCTGAATGGTGCAGAAATTTATTTTTCTCAAACCTATTTTTAACAATGGAAGTAGTAACTACATCTCCATTTACTTTAGGTATTTTATAACTTTCAATAGAGCCTTTTATCTTAACTCTCAAAGCATTTACTTCTTCTTTAAAATATGCAAGAAGTGGGTTCCATTGATTGAGGATTCAAGATATGCATTTCTACAAAGACAGCCAGCGTGTACACCTATGTTTAAAAATTTTTCTCATTTCAGTATTATGCAGCTGTTGGAACTGTTTCAATTTTTCCTTCCTTTTAGAACTCTTTTCAAGATAATAATAAATATCAACATGTGTTCATCCACATTTATTGGTAAAGAAGCTACCCCTTTCTCAGCTGCTAAATTTAAGAGGTGACAGGTGCACCTTATAATCTGCAAATCTGAATTTTCCTTTCTTAAGATGCCTGCAACGCCAGTTTTAAAGCTTACAATTACTGGTACATTATCGGCACCAAATGCTAAGCAATTATTCAGAGGGACTGCATTTTCTTTAAAGTTTTAATAATTAGCTGTGCTATATTAAAGCCTGTCGAATGTCCTTCTAAAGTGGGGACAGAAAGTAAACTGCACTCAATTTCTGAAGACTCTATATTAAAAAAAGAAACAATTGAATACAGTTTTGAATCGGTATCATTGCTTCCATCTACAGAGAGGCGGAACGAAGCTGTTTTAATGCAATCAATAACTGAAGATTTATTTTTCAAACCCATTTTTCTAACAATTGCACCTGTTTTGGTTCTTGCACTTGAGCACTTCTTAGCGATTTCACTATCGGGAAACATTTTTCTAAATAAAGCTGCAGCGTGATCCGATGCATTCAGTGGCACGTTATGCTCCAGTAAAAAAGCAGAGAACAGACATTCTGCATTAATAACTTTTTAGTCCCTTGTTCCCTATGAAAAATTTAATTTTTTGTTTTTTTCAAAACAACTCATGTTGTCCTTGTGTTTTTTGTGTACGCACATGTTTGAGAACATCCACCCTTCCACCATGCGAAATAAAAAATCGCAACGACAGACAGTACTCATCGCAAATTTATTACATTGCTTTTAAGAAATAATGGAAGGAAAGTCAATTGTGTATGATTTTTGAAACGTAAATGAGTATTTCACCTTTCTCGCAGACATAACAAAAGATGATAATTTCTAAAACTATTTCCCGAAGGCATGTGTACTCGCACAACTCAGGACAAGATGAACGAAATGACAGAACATCCAAATAACAGCCTTGAACTTGCTTTGTGCTCATTGGCTAATATATGCCAGATAACACACAGTGGAGCTCGATGCCCATTGGAGAACTGCAGAACGACGTTTCTAGATACGTATATGCTCTCACTCACAAAGCAGAAGTTCTCATCTGATTCACAATGTTTTGTTTTAGATATAATCTAGAGAAAATTCAATTCCTTTCAGACATACAAAATCTTTTTTTTTTTTTCCCCTTCTTTTTTTTTTTTTTTTTTTTTTTTTTTTTTTTTTTTTTGGTTTATATAATGAAGTATTAGGCCAAGTTCCATAAAAATCGTGAGAAATTTTAAGAATAAGAAAAAGTCAGGAGAAATATATTGTAAAATCGGGTTGGCGAGAGAGCAGTCGAAAATCGGGAGTCTCCCGCCTAAATTGGGAGAGTTGGCAACTCTGTTAGTAGAAGTCACCAAATTTTCAGAATATGTCAAACTCTATCAATCATACATATAACCGTTCTTCAAGCAACCATGCTTATAACAATCCTTCAGTCAAGCTATGTTGCTATTTTCATATGCATTCTTTTTGATGGATTTCAAGTTCCAACGTCTAATAAACTAAATGGGATATTTTTTTGTCTTAATTTTAAAATATGCAGTTGTGGAGATGGCCATCAATGAAAGAAGCTGCAGGAATAGAGAATTTTGCTTCGATGAAGAGATGTGTTTGGTGGATAGCTGATACTGTCCAAGTTTGAGCAATGAGAAGTTCTTGAAATTCTCTGATTTTCTTTTCTTTTCTCCCCCCCCCCAGTGAAAACAGATCGCTGTATATTGAGCGAAAAGAATAGTGAAAACAAACACAGAAAAATTTAATAAGAATGTATCCCATCTATTTAATAATTAAAATCTGCACTTTAAATTGCTAGAGTGTGTTTTCTTTTATCTGTTATTAATGTTTGCTGGTTTACAATAAATATCAATAGTTTGGGAATGTTTCTAAAAAAAATTATGAAAACTACCAACTTGCATCTGAAAAGTAACTTTTATCTTTTCATCTGTAAAAAATTGCCAAATTTCACAAAGGTGGTTGCATTAATAAAAGTTTTAGACAGTAACATGTTATAATAATAAAAATTTCACACTTCTTTTTGATAAAATAAAGGTATGTATTTTAATATATTTAAAACTATATTCACTTACTTTCCTTCAAACTTCCATTCAACCCATTGGCCAGAAGTAAATTTGTATTCAAATAAATCATTTTTATTTGTCAAATTTGAATTTGAATGTATATCACCAGTATAACCACCTAAGAAATGACAAACTTTTATACAGGAACCATCAAAACAATATTCTAACGATATACAAATGAAAAGAAGACCATAACATACCAAATACAAACATGCTGTTTTCATGAATAACTGCTGAGTGATGATATCGAGGAGCTGGTGGAACCCCTGTGGTGAATGCCCTAACACATATAATAAATTTAACATTATGACAATTTTTAACACTGAAAAACCATACAAATATTATAAATAAACTAAGAATACAATATATCAAACAAAATATCAGTATAAAAATATTTACCGCCCCCAAGAATTGTCTTTTACATCAAATCTTAATAAATCATTTAACATATGTTTCCTGCAAAGAAAATTTTATAAAAAATTCACCTCATTAGAAAAGTTATAGATTTAAGAACTTTAAACAATATTATATATGAAAACTGTACAAACACATTGTATTCAAATTTTTAACATAAACCCTTTACAATTCTTAGAGTGCTTTTTTTTAATGATTACATATGGCTTTGCTAAGACATTAAAATATAAAATGCTTTTAAATATAAAATGTTTCAAAATGATAAAATCTCAAAAGTTAAATGTCTCAAAAACAAAGGAAAGGCAGGCAGTGCTGAAGGTGTATTTGAACTGTACAGCATGAAAATGCAACAAAGGGACAGCTGTATGCCTATTTTCACAAAAATCAAAAGGAAAGAAAGAAGGAGGAAGAGGGGGGGAGGACGGAAAAAGTGAAGAAATTAAGTTTTCGAAACTATAAAAAGCGAAAATAATTGTTAAAAGAAAAACTGCATTTTTAATCACATTAAAAGCCAACAACATTAATTTTTATAGAACTTGTTTATTTTTATGACAAAAATTAAGAATAGAATAAACATTCATATTATTAAACAAGTAAAATTTATTCTTAAATTTATGTTAAAATATATGTGGGAAGCTACAATTTTCATTAATTTGTAAATAAATATTCATAAGGCATATGTAACTTGCCTTTTTATATCCACATACTCATTTTGCCTACCATAACATAAATTTAACATAAAGTTATTACATTCAGGGATAAAAGCAGTTAGGCTCATTCCAAAAAATGCATTCCCTATGACTAAAAAAAGAATCTATATGGGCAATTCCCTTAAAAAACTTTTTTAGTATTTTGCTATTACAAAAATACAATTAAGTGTTGAAATTTTGATTTTTGCCGCCCAACCGGTATAGTGGATAGTGCCGTTGACTGCCGTGCCACGAAAGGCCCGGTTTTGAATCCCAGAGGAAACATGGATGTTTGTAAATGTATAGTGTCGGTGCTGCACTCTAAATACACGGCAAGCTGAAAGTCCTCTCGTGTGGTTTGGTGGAAGGAGAGAGAGGTGGGAGTCCCTCAGACTCGTCCTCTTGGGTGCTTTCCATTGAGGACCAAAATTGGGGGCCGAACCTAGCTAAATCGCACTGTCACTTGAACGGTGCTCAAGGCTATTGCCAACGGCAGGTGCAATCTAGCACTCCTTGTCACAAGGAATTTCATGGAATTAGGCTGACTATGTCAGACAAGTAAACATAAGTAACAACAACAATTTTGATTTTCAACAATATTTTCACATTTTGCATTGATTTACAATTTAACTCTTAGTGTTATAAATTATAATAATTCCAGTATATGCCATAATAAAATAAATATTAAAGACAATACAATACAAACTTCATAATATTTAATTAAAGAAGAAAAAATTTGAAGCTTACCCATTATCTCCACCGAAAACAAAAACTGCATCTTTGTATGCTATAACTGTATGTTTACTTCTCCTAAATGAAAAAAAAAAGAAAACTGTCAGAAAGGTATAGATTAAAATCAATTTAAAAATCATACAGTAAAACTTTCCTGAGGCATTCACCTATAATTCTAGTTCCTTTTGAACTTTTTTTTATAAGTAATCACCTTACAGAGCATGCCAGTTGGTGATATATAATACTGATGCTCATTTATGTTCTCACAAAATGCTGGACACTTTCAGTGATATCTGTCTATACATAAATGGAGATGTTTCGCTATACCTATACATGTGCTTAAAATTTAAACACATAAAAATTCTAGCATATGTTACTTCCTTTTAAAAGAAATACACTAGAATTGTATAGGTGGCAAGAGGACATAAACAGATAACTACTCATTAAAACATTTTGATAAGATAGTTTGTTTCTTATCTGACTATATTTGTAATTTATGGCTCACATATATGCTATTGATAAATAAGCAATATCTAAACTTGTTAAGTTTTGGAAAGATAATCCTAATGACGTGAAGGAGAGGAATGATTTTCTTATTATAGCTAAATATTCAATAAACAATGAACCTGTTCCTAATGATGAGGACTTAGCACAACTTTGTTTCATGCCTTCTGAGATCACAATAACAGAGCATTAAACTACATTGATCCAAATAAAAATAAAGTGACATTTCCCGCTAGAGGAAGTTGATGAATTTTGTGAGAATAAATGAAGGAAGCATGGCTCCCTTCTTCCTCCTTCCAAAAAATGTCACAATAGCTGTCGTTGATGAGCTATCAGGAAGAAGTGGATTACCTCCCCCAAAACTGCACCAAATGAAAAGCTGAGGAGATTGAAGACATCATTTCTCAAAATAACTCCTTTTGTCTATTAATATCAGTACTTCTCTGTTATAGTGACTCTCAAGATCGAATTGTCAATCAAACCAAGATCTCTCACCAAAATCTGGCTGCATATTCTTATACATTGCCACATGATCATGTATCAGCAAAAGCTGCATATTCTTATACCTCACCATGTAATTGTATATTAGCAATATGCTCCATTTTTGCTCTCATCGCATGTTCTTATATTATTCATTTTTGTGAGGTTTTCAAATTTGCATTGTTTATTCAATAATATATATATTCATTGCTTCTTTTTTATGAACATGATATTAACAATCTTTAATTTACCAAGTAATGAGGTAGATGCCATATTATTTTTTCAAGAGACGTCTTTTGCCTCACATAACAATAAGCGAAAATAGTCACAACATGAAAACATTTTGGAGATGCAACGTTAAAAATTGCAAAAGGAAGAAGGCCCTCCATGTTGGATATTGGTTCAGCAGTTCAAGAATATCATCTTCATCACTACTATTAGATTTATCTGTTCTTGAGCAGAGGAATTGACATCCATGAAAAGGTGTAACAAACAAGTTAATATGTGTGAAATTGCTGCAATTGAATGGAACAATTACACACAATAAAATAATAATAATAAGGATAAGGATTCTTAAAAATATTCTCAGGCAACAACATGTGAGTACTATTGTTATTATATATTGTGTTGTTTATTTTTACATTCACACTTCACGAGCTTAGTGAAATTATAGCCGAGATCTTGGAGCAAATCTAAAATCACCAAATATGGTTGAGCGCTTCTATAATAAAGAAGTACTGGAATATCCCATTGACATGGAAGAAAAGACACAGAGAGAAATCCTGTTCCTATCAAGTACTGAAAAAAGAGCAACTACCTGCATACTTTATCTGTATCCTAAAATAATGTGAAAAGAGATCTAATCTCCTTTCTGAAAACTACTGCAAACAGTGGCGTGTGGTATGTTTTCATACAGGGTGTGCAGAGAACAACAGTAATAATAATAAAACCATAAAAATGTACATTAAACACTTCTTTAACTTTTTTATTATTCATTTGTACACAAAATCCATATGTCTATCCGTATTACTAACAAAATCATTAATTACATGATCATAAAACTCTGGTTTTGACTGTTATAAGTGTAACATTTCTTTTTCTATTGTTATTAGAGATAAATTTAGATCCTGGCTCATTGTATTGCATGCATAATTTTTTACTCTTTTCAATGCTGAAAATGATCTCTCCACCGAAGCAGTTGAAAATGGAATTGTACAAATTAAATGTGTCAATTTTATTTACTTTGCTTAGGGCATCTGTCAAATCATTCAGCATTATATGCTGAATAAGTTTCGATAAATTCATTTCGTGGTATGACTCACTACAATAAAGAACGCATAATTCATTGGTTAGCTTTACAGAATTGAAATGTTTTGCATAAGCGTTCTTTAATCAATTAAGGCATTCATCCAGAAATTTACTTTGATATTTCTTAAAAAAACTAAAATTCAATAGTTCAAAAAATTTGAGCGGATTTAATTTTTTAAAACAGACATCTAACTGACAATAAATAGTGTCCATTATTTCATAATATAAATTTTTAGAATGTTGGTCTTGGTCTACATTTGAGTTTTGTAAATTTACACGACGTTTTTTTTAATTTGGGGGACCCACTACAGAAATAGTCTCTTCATAAACTTCATCAAATGCAACAGAAGTTCGCATATTTTGAATTGCATCTTTTACTTCCTCTACTTTTTGACTAGAAAATGCTATATCTAAGTTAGTTTTTTGTAAAATATCAAATAGAACATCAGTATAACTAAACACTTTGGCAAAAATATTTAGGAGAAAATTACCATTAAATTCTTCAAAAAACATGTGATAACTCTTTGCATATTAATCATATCGTTATCCCAGCCTTCTCGATTATCAATAATATTTTCAAATAAATCAGATAGGCCTTGCCTTTTGCTTTTTAAGGTATTTACCAAATGAGATGAATAGTTCCAACGTGTTGTAGCTAATTTTGGAAATTTTCTTTTAATAATATCATTTAAAACATGATTTCTTTTTGTAGACACCGAAAAAATAAGGCTATGCCAGAAATTGTTGCAAAAAATAATTTACAATCTTTTATAAACAATACAGATTGCAACAGAACTAAATTAAGTACATGTGCGCAACAATGTACAAACATAGCTTCTGGGAAAACTTCTTTTACTTTTTTCTGCGTCCCATTCAACGCTCTTGCCATGACTGCCGCCCCATCGTACGTTTGAGCAATCAGTTTATTCTCACACCCCCAACTCAAAATCATTTCTTGCACAACATTACACAAGGCTTCCACTGAACAATTACCACTAACATCTTTAAAAAACAAAAATCTTTCCACTGATGCACTACAATTATTAACTCCATTTGACACAAGTCAAGTTATTAACATATCCTAGCACAGCTAATAATTGGGATTTACGAGATATGTCAGATGTTTCATCCAGCATAATAGCAACGAATGGCTTTTCTTTTACCTCATTTCTAATTTCTGAAATTACAATATTTTTTATTGATGCAATAATATCATTTTGTATTCTATTAGAGATTCCAGAAAATACAGTTGCAGTTCTTAGATGGGTTGCTAAAAGATCATCATATTTACTAATTAAAGTTATTAATTCTATATAATTTCCTCAATTAAGGAAATTTATATTCTCATTGTGTCCACGAAATGAATCTTCTTGTTCTGCTAAGTAACAAACTACATCTCTTAATCTCTTGAGAATATTTCTATTTCTTATTACTTTTTCATTGTGTTGAAAAACCGATGAAGCCTTTTGTTGATCTAACATTAAATCTATCCTGGTGGTACTAAATGTTTTTAATAGTATTATGGCATTTATGCGAGATTGTGTTTTTAATGTTTCTTTGCAGCTTCATGGATATGATTTTTTGTTTTTTTAAATCACTGTACTTTTTTTTTCCAAATATTCTTGTCCTTTCAATTACAAAAAAAAAGTAAACACGCCAACAGTACAACTTATTCAATTCACTACAACCGGTTAACCATTTAAATTTTTCATACATAGATTTTTGAAAATGTCGTACACACTGTTGCCCTTTAATCTTAACATTTTGTGATAGAATAATATCTGGCATCGGTCTACTTAATTTAACTATTTAATTTTTTGTAGTAACGTCTCGTCTCGAAAATGGATTTTCCAATAAATCTTTAATTATTGAGACATCTGAGGAGTTCTCCATTCTGAAATGGGTTATTTATTATGAATATGAATTTAAAGAATACAATAAATAAAATATTTACCTACGAGTAGTCGAGGTATAACTATAAAAACAGCTGAACTTACAAGAATTTTACTAGCACTGAAGCAAAAACCATGTCTTGTGTTGTATGGTGTCATATCGGCGGCGAAAAAGCAACACTTCAGGCTTCCACAAAACACTTATATTTTCAGCAAACATAGAACCACACGGTGCCTGCCGCTGCGGTGCCTCATCATCAGCCTGATGACATCAGGATGCTCATTGGTGCCGACAAACCGAACGTCTATTCTGGCACAATAAAACGAATTGTTTCTTGTTCGGTCAGTGGATTAAATTATATTTATTAATTGTTTTTAACATTTGGAAATCATGTATTCTGCAATAAACATCTTGACAATTAAAAAAAAAAAAACAGGGATATGGTGTTAGACAAATATAACTTATATACTGTCTGTAAGACACAATGAATGGTAAAATTTGGACTGTTCTGTTAAAATCGTTTCTTTTTGTCTAACAAAAACAAAATTGTTTTTCAGCAAATTATTTCTATAAATATAATACATCACCAAAATTACTTTTACCACACTAAAACATTTACCCTTATATTGATGAAATATTCTTTTTATTTCATAAAACAAAATCTTACAATATATAAATTTAACGTTAAAACGGCTGCAAAATCGTATGGCCACTTAATCAGTTAAAAAACCAAAAGCGCTTCAGCACCTAAGTCCCCGCTCTAATACAACGCTTAATAAACCGTACTTTCGAATGATTCTGAATGCCAAGTGCAGGAAAAATAGTTTCACTTGCCCTCAGTCCTATAGTATGCTGTGCTTCTCCAGAAGTCCATACATATAAAGTGTGATTTTCTATTGGTGCTCAATGTGTACA